AGTCAGAAAAGCCCTTCAGAGATGACCCATTCACTTGTCCATTTTTAATTCTGCATTAAGATTTCCCTCAGTTCTTTCCCTCTCCCCCTCCTCCAACACTGCAATATTTACTCGAGGAGCTTAAAATGAATTGCTGTCTTTCTCTCCAACAACTGGAGTTCAACTCCAGTTCTATAAAAACACTGGTTATACAGAAATTTGTGCAGACTTCTATGATGAAATACACCATTAAAAAAATCAATAAAATAAGAAGCACTTAAGATATTCAGAGAAGGCTTGAAATCATAGAATGGTTCCGGTTGGAAGGGACCTCAAAGATCATCTAGTTCCAACCCCTCTGCCATGGGCAGGGAAACCCTCCACTGCACCAGGTTGCCCAAAGCCTCATCCAACCTGGCCTTGAACACTTCCAGGGATGGGGCAAATATCTTCATTTGTTTTCCACTGAAACATTAGCTCCGATAAACTGTCAAGATATGATAGTGGTTAAGTAATCCCATTTACGAAAGACACATTGCACCCCTCATTACTCTGGGTAATGATGTCATAGTAGTGTCAGGCTGATAATGCTGTATTTCTTTAGCTAACATAAAAAGGCAGAGAATTTCAAGGCATTCAGGACAATAATACTGGAACTTTTGATGCTGCGTACACCAAAAATGTTTATGTGGAGGCACACGAACTGATGCACAGCACGTCTCGAGGAGCGTGGTTCCACCAAAGAAAGGCTTCAGCCCTTTTCGTCTGCCCTGTGTCACCTTGAACGGCAGCGCAGCTTAGATCTGACTCAGCCTAGCACGTGAGAGCTGGAACGAACTCCGGTACTGCCCAGGAACCGTTAGCTCCGAGCTACTTTGCTGCTGTAGACAATTTGCATTGATTCTTATGTACAGATTCTCCATCCCCCGGTCTCCTCTAATTGTGTAAATTTATTAAAATGTCTAAATCACCTAAATGCTTTAAAAATCTCAGACATCAAGCTGACACAACAGCAACCAGAACATTTTTCTTTTACTTAAAGGGTCCTGCCTCTATCTCCATCATCTGCTGGCACTTCTCGTTCTCAATGCTTACATTTAAGTTTCTGGTCTTCTGCATCTGAATAAATTTTGTTCTGTATTCTCTGTAGTTTTCATTATTTTGTTAAATAATTTAAAGGTTTATAAAAAGAGCTTTTTGCTTTTAAAAATCCTTTCACAGTAAGCCAGAAATAAGCAGCAGCTTTCATTTTTTTTTACTTCCAACAGGCATTAAGTCCCTCAGGTCTTTCCACTTTGCTACGCTGTGAATCTGTACTTAAAAATATCAGAAAAAAAAACCCTGTATCTTCCTTGTTGGGAGCTGACATTTTGGCTCAATTAAAAAAAAAAAAGTTCAAAGCTCCCAATAGCTAGGAAACATAGAAAATGCTTTTTTCTCAGATTGCATTTTAGTCAGTATAATATGCCCACCCTCTCTAAAGAATCCAGATTTTCTTAATTTTACGCAGCAAAAAGTAAATACTAGGAACCGATACCCTTCTACTCTGTGATTAATAGATTTTTCTTTGTTCTCTGGAAAAAATAACTTAGGGAAATGACAACATGAAAAACCAGGGATTGGTAGATTATAATCTACCACTATAACCTGGGTTAAAGCTCATTAGGAGATAGGAAGATGGAGGCATCTGTCAGGTCTGAGGAAATAAATGTCCTATTGGGAGCTTTGCAGCTGAAGTCGGCGTGAACTGTTCATCACTGCATCATGATATTTATTCCAGGCTTAGCTGTCGACTGGCATTTCAGCTTCTCTCCTTTGCCTCTGTGGATGCTGTTTCTTAGTCCTGCTGGCAAAAACTGTCGTGGGACATTACCATTTCCAAAAACTAAAGCTGAGAACCTGGTGGGGGAAGGTCCTTCCTCCTCTACCACCCACTACAAAAGTTTCCAGGAACACCAGATCACAACACCCAAATGAAGAAAAGTGAAACATAACAGGATCCAGATTCAGGCACAACACCCATCTACGCCATTCAAAAAGCCTCCAGTTTACATCTGGAAATGGCAGTCAGTTTTTGCTTAGACCTTCTAAGGACAGAAATATTTGCCTGTTCATGTCAGACAAGCATGTGCAAGGGATTAGTTGGGAATTCATGCAAAAACATTGAGCACTTACCCAGTACAGGTGAGAGCTAACACTAACTCTTAGTGTAGGCACAAATTGTCTCAGTATATAATATATTCATCTTATTTAGGTTCATAAAGCATGCTGTGGCCCAGAGTTTAGAAAAATATTATTTCACAAGTGCAAAAAACCTAACTTGATGGCTGTCAGGCAACAAGCTACTTTATTAGCCTATAAGCATGAAGTAAATTGGGTGCATTCATTGCAAACCACTTCTGGTCTACAGGAGAACCCAAAGGGAATGAATACTCACTGGCATAATGTGGCACATTAGGGGCCGTATGGAAAAGTTTATGGATCCCATGTCCACAGTAACTCCGAACTACTGAAAATCCATTTGCTTGAGCATGTTTCTGAATAATGTTTCCCAGTTCTCTGTACCGAACACCAGGTTTTACTGCAAAATTAAAGAGATACAGATGGAAATTTATAGCGTGAGCTTTCAACACAAGTAACCATCAAACACCATGCAGGTTAGTATCGCTGTAGCACTCATCGTTTGTACAGCCGCCTGTCCTAGTATGCAGCTTCCCGTGATCACTTAATCCACCAAGTGAGCAACAACAGGAGGGAGGGAGGGAGGAAATGGTCTCATATAAAAGAGAAAATGGGAGAGAAAGGAGGAAATTCCTTCTTCACAAGAATACTACTTACTTCCTTTTGTGGATGCAACTGCTCATACATTAAAAGGACACTGGAAGTTTGAAATTAAAGACAACAAAAGATTTTCAAAGTACTTGGTAACTTCTAATACTCAGTTGCAGTGTTTCTTTCAATGAATGTATGAACTATATTTTAATATATACTTATCCCTCTAAGTGAAAAGTCCACATGAATGAAGAGGAAAAATGATTATACATGAAGGACCAAGGAGGGTAAAAAAAACCAAGACAAAACATGTATCTCTACTCTTAGACAAGATTTTTAGTGGCAACGCTACAGCAAATAAGAATGTTCATATGCAGAACTAACCATTTTGACAATCCTTTTAGGAAGTCTTCAAAGTTAAAGAGCTTGAAACAGATGAAAATGGTGTGAACAATTCACTTTGAGCACTTGGACAAGGAAGTAACAATATCATAAAAGCAACAATGCCTCATCCATTGGCTAATGAAGACGCATATCAAAAACAACCTTTAGCCACTAAGAAGAAAAAAAGAATATAAATGCTATTTCAGGATCATTCACAACTCCCTGAATATAGGCAGTTTCTTCAGGAGCTAGATGTTGGGTGGTTATGTGGAGCCATCTTAAGCAGGGTTCACATACATCACTAAAACTTTACGTGAAGCAAGCCAGTTAGTTCAATTCCGTGCTAATGTAAACAAATACAAGGTAAACCAGTAAGCTGAACTTACAGAAAATAACAAGAAATTTAGGTTACTGGAATGTGCATGTTTTTTGCAAAATACAAAAAAACACACGGTGGGAAAGAGAGGAAAAGTTAATCTGTTGGTTTTGTGCTAAATAGTTGTGAAGTAGCACCACCTCCTTCAGGCCTGACAACACCAACCAACTCGTCCCAATGCAGCAAGGAGCCCTCTGCTGCTCTCTCATGTCACTCTCCTGGTTAAGAGCCCTGCTGGTCTAATGCCAAGAAATTAAGATGATTTAAACAGGGGTGAGGCAACATCTTTCTAACAGCCAAGATGCTGCTAGAATTCCTGCTAGCAGAGAATGTCTAAAACCCATTAAACCTGTTACAGCATCTAAAAAGTTGGTGAAGTTAGGCTGAGAATTTAAATCTCACTATAATGAACACAAGGGTGAATTTCTGTCACAGTTTATACAAGAAAGACAGGATATGAAAGGTAAGAGACAACATACACAACATTTTCTATAAAAATAAAGCACAGGAGCAAAGATAAACGTTATTCTGATTTAGCTCTGAAAAACAAAGAGGTCATTTCAGAATAGTAATCCCACATCAATAGATCATCTATATTCTTCACAGCTCAACTCTGCAATATTTTCTTGATCACACAATGGATATGCAAGACATCATTCATATGGATTTTTGCCTCTTTAGCTTGGCTAGCTATCTCCAAATTATTAACCAAAGTAAGTTCATCCTAATTTTTTTTCCACTTACTTTTGATTAAAGCCTTCATATATACCTTAAACTTCAGCCTGCAGAGGCCATGAAGCGAGTCAATTTTATTGAGGATTATAAGAAGCTGCAGGGTATATAAGATACAGACAACAGAAATATTGCCAGGCACTTGGAAGATTTTTGTTTTGTTTTCTCTGTCTAAGAGAACTTGGTATATTCCTGTGTGAATCAAGCTGAACGCGACTTTCTCCAGCTACCTTTCTATCTCCTTGTATGTCTCAAGGAGGCTGTCCTGAGTTACATCTAAGCAACATAATTAAAGTTCTGTGGATACTGAAGGGTATGGATGTCTTCTCTGGCACACTCCCCCAGTTTAAAACCAAGAGCTTATAATTAGCTTTATGAAATAACCATCAGGTTTGGCAGGGGTAAAGAGAGATACGTTTAGGTGTTCCAACAGTGTTTTACCTTATCGGTTTGTTGTGCAATACCGTACAAGCTGTAAGAGTAGGAAGCTATACTTTGGTTTTCCAAAACACGCTTTGTTCTTCACGTTCTCTGAACTACTCAGATCAAGGGTGTCTTATTCATCTAACCAATAGTCCAAAAAGGCTGTTTCCAAGTAAACATCATCATATGTGGATCAGCTCCACATCAATTACGTTTTCCTTGTCAACCCACATTTCAAATAAAAGTTGCAGCCACCACCCACGGACCTGTGCCATTTGAAGAATCACTGTATTATACACCATCTGCTGGTGACACACACTAACACTTCTGTGTTCTACAAGAGAAGTCACTCCTGGGTAATAGCAAATACGAGCACTCAGGTTTGAGAAACAAAACCATAATGCTTCAGGCCCTAGCCAGAGGGTTTACCTGCATCGATGGCTTGCATTAGGCACTCGTAAGTCGTCTGGACAAGTCTCCTTGCACCCTCATCAACTTCTCCAACATAAAACGTCTCATTCAGATCTCCATGGTAGCCATTACGATAGACAGTAATATCCACTGCAAAGAATACCACACATATTGTAATATTAGCACTGCACTTCTCACTTCTTGTTTCTTCATTTGTGAAAGGACAAACACACACATGTAAAAATGTGGTACTGTAATTGCGAAGTTAAAAGATTACTTTGGAAGAGTTCCGATGCAAACTCTTCCAGCAGAATCTATTCTCTCACGCTTATCCTGTAGATTCTACAGAATTAATTAACAAGACAGTGTTTCACTGGTCAATAGTTTGATTTAATTATAAAAAAATGTAAGAGAAAAAACCCACATCAATGCGATACAGACACAGCAAGCTTATGATTGGTTTTCTAGGTAAATATAAAACCAGGAAAGAGAAGCTCTTTGCTTCATGGTGATTTACCTGGTTAAAATATTTTCTTAGAATTAGTTCCAGCACTAATAGGGGGAAATTAAATTTAAAAAGGTATGTAATCATGCTTTAACCCATATTTTAACTTCAGTAATTTCTATGCATGTTCAAAATAAGTAGTCACACCTTTGCAAAAAATATAATGCCAAAACCCATTGCTTCCAGACAAAACAGTAAAATTTCTTGAACATTAAATGCACAGCGACTTTCTAGTAGTATTCCTGACTAAGAAAAACACCAAATGACTTAAAACTTTCTCTGTTTTCTTTCAAAACACCAAATGACTTAAAACTTTCTCTGTTTTCTTTCAAATGAAAGAATTTAAACATTCAGTATCAGGCAAACAGCAAGAATGAGAAGGGCATGCTTGAACAACCAAGGTTTAGAAGAACATGTAAGAGTTTAGAATTATGCTGCAGTAAAACCCCAACTTGCTTGCTTTGTGTATAAAGTTGCTTGAGTGATATAACCCGTTCTTGAAAAACGGCAGCGTAAGTAGTTTTAATGAGACAAAAATCCTTTTCAGTTTAACTCATTCCGAAAAAGACATGCTTTTTTGGATTAAGAACATCCATACAAGACGCTTGTTGCAAAAAGTCCTTCTACAAAACACGGTAACAGGCCCACCAGTTCAGACGTAGCTGTCATCTATTCTAGTACCCCGTTCTAGAATACCCCTAGCTATTCTACTCGCTCATAGCAGACGAGTGAAAAGTTAAAAACATGCCACCATACAGTCATTATATATAGTAAACACATGCAAAACACTCTAGATTTGTGTATCACGTTGGCTTCCTGTGGTAGAATGGGTGTTTTTGTGTTTAACAGACTTTGTCAGTAACCGGGTAGGTCTAATAGCTGCTAGAGTATCAAAATCACCAGAACAGTTATTGTTACTGAACTGCTCTTTGTGAAGAAGCCCACAGGCAGACCCCTTAAAGGTAAACAGCATGAAGGAAACTGCACTGAGCAACAATACTTTAAGAATATGGTACGTGAGCCGCTTCGAGAGACCACTACAACCTTGACAGGAAAACGGGGTGAAAAACACATTGGTGTCAAGAGTAAATCTCTACTGCTGGCAAACATTTAAGAACAAAATTAACACTGCACAAAACCAATACAGCCTGTTATGGACGCGGCGTAGGCAGGGTTTCACTGTACTCACTACATGATCACGTGGGACCACTGGGACATTTTGACCAGTGTACATATCCAGTCTCGTACAAAAAGACTATACAGAAACCAGCACCCTGGTAACTTATCCAGATAAGCTTCTTGTGAACTGTGTATCAGAGCTTCTCAGCACAGTGTCCAGACCACGTGCTGCAAAGAGGCCATCTCTATAGGCCAAGTGATTACAAGACTTTCTTTTGATGCTGCCAGATTTGGCCAGAACATCTCACTTTGCAGAGGGATCAGCTTTGCTCAAGAATCTGCTCCCAGGGAACAGCATGGTAGCAAAACTTCACAACGCCCTGTTCAGAGCTGGAGGCTGGACTAGACATCACCTGCCAGGACCTTCTGGATGATATTTTCCTGTGATTCTAAAAACCTGTTTTGGACTCTGACATGGTCACCTTTTACTTCAAACTTTTTAGCCTGCTGGAAGGAAAGAGAAAGATGGGCACTTCCTTCTGTGGTTCACTGGGCACATTCCCTCCAAAGCACTTTTTCTGTCTCCTCCTTTGTACTCTGTCTTCTTCCTTCTTTTAAAGAGGCTTTTGAGTCACTAACTTACTGAAAGGAACCCTACAAGATTTGGAAGCCTTTTGAGCCCATGGGGAATGCACATTCAATCCACAAAATGTGGACCATTTTATAAAAAGACGTACTCAGCTACAAAAGAGTAAACTGGTTCTTCCTCATCAAAACAAAGCAGAAGGCTCAAAGCTTGGGCAAGTGCAGTCAGGGCATGGATGTGAAGAAAGATATAACTAAACCCTCTTCTAAAAGGCGAGGTACAGCCTTGGTATGCAAATAGTGGAAAGGTAAGGCACCGTGTAGATGAAGCCAACCTAGTAGCTTATCTGGGCTTCTTAGTTTGGACTTCAGAAATACCAGAAAAGCTGGCAGCAACAAGAGAGCTGTGCAAAGGCATCATCTTTGAAATTAAAAAAAGACAAAGCAGCTTTGGCCAAATGGCTACATGTACGCAACAGCTCAGAGCTCTCAGCCAGACCAAACCTGACCTAGAAAGGGACAGCAATCCTGAAACTCGTTCTGAAAAGGCTGGTACCCACAGCACTGAGCGGCAGACAGCAGCAATTATTGCATGTTAATAGATATCAAATATCTGACAATCTAAAAGGATTCCAACCTTCTTCTAGAGGTAGGTCACACCTTAGGATATGCTGGGTACTTATTTACAGTAAGAGAAAAGCAAACCAGTGCAATAAACAAAGGTGTAAATGCTTGTACAAAACAAATGTCATTAATTTTTACTGCTAAACCAAGAAGAGATGGATGAGAAAACAAAAAACAGTCAAGTAATTTATAAAAGTATCCCTCACCACCCAAGAAGGTGTAAGTACCTTGAGTACCATGAACAAAAAGCAGCTGGTACTGTTAGGCTGCGAGATGCTCAAAAAAGGGTATGGTTTTTAATATGCACCCATACAATGCCTCACCATTAGGATCCTTTACAGTTACCATATTAGTCATGTCTGTAGCAAAATCTTAAGGATCCAGAGCCATCTAATTAAGAATTCACACAGAACTAACCCAGTTGAATAATTCAATGCACATTTTATTCACTATTTATACCGCCTGGAACAACTGGAACCTAGCTCACAAGTGGAATACTCAGATACTACACTAATGCACAGACCAGGGTAGAAGAATCACAAAGCTCTTAAAGTGGATCAAATTTTTAAAATTGTTTTATTAAATAAACTCATGAATTTAAATGTGTGAAGAACAGAGGTTGATTGGTAAATGAGAACGAAAGCCTCTTTTAAGACGCTATTCCAACCATGTTGCGGGCTAGTGAAATCTCACCTTACTGCATGGTTTAACTGGAGAGAAGGTAGGAATGTTGAAGGTTAATTTTCATAGCACTTACCATTAACAATGTCTCCCTCCTGCAACGGCCTCCTGTCAGGAATCCCATGACAGATCACTTCATTCACTGATGTACAACATGACTTCGGGAAATTATAATAATTCAGAGGGGAAGGATAGCAATTCCTTGCAATACAAGCCTAATGTAGAAAACACAATTTACACTTCGCATTAGTAAGTTTTGTACAAAGAAAAAACGTATGCACAACAGCTTTGCAGTAAGAATGACAGGTTGAAAAGCAGTGACTCTTGAAAATAAGATTCTTCAAGCATTATTTTTTGCATTACGGTATTTTGTTATGCTTTGCATTTCTCACCAGGAAGAATGTAAAGGTACTTTATTTTTTTTCTACTCATTTTTATGTTTACTAATGCTGAAATATTCAGGTTTAAAACAATGCATGGCAATATTTATTTGGTTAAAAACCCAGCCATTTTCAATGACTGCTTTTAAGCACCTGGTCTAAGACTTTAAGTATTCTTCTAAAACACACAAGCTAGATAAAATAACGTTTAGCACCACACTTCCACTCCTAGCTTTAAAACTGTAGCTGCTTTCTTTGCACTCACTCTAATAACCTTTTTGGTATTTTTGCAAAACTGATACATTTTATATATACTTACATATACATACATGCACACACTATGTGACATATCAAGCAATTCTGGAAAAATATTTTAAAAATAACACTGTTTTAAAACTGCAAAGTACCCATTAGGGGTATCAGTTATCATCAACAATTTGCCCAACAAAAGTTTCCAAAAAACGCTGAGGAGGATAACATCATTTTAACTACTAGTTGTTCATACTAGACATTATGCATAATAATAATTTAATGCTTAACCAAGTTTAACAGAAACCTCCAGTCTAATCAAATGAAAGTAAGTTCCTTACAACATTGGCTGAACAGCTGCAAATGCAGACAACAACAAGCACAGCAACCAGAAAGCTCTCTAACAAACTTAACTATACCAAAATCATTGCTTCCCCAGAGTGCATCTCAACTACCAGTTCACATGCCTTACAAAGAAGGGAGCAAAGAAAAATAAAAATGACACAATTCAAGTGCCTATGAATAGTCCAGCCAGGAAAATACTTCAACGTGCGTTTCAAACACTTTGCTGTATTGTGGATTTAGTTTGCCTGACTGTATCAAGCATCTTGCTTCAATCCTCTCTCAGGCTCCTCAGTTCTGATTCACAATCATAAACAATCAAAGTTTCTCTTCTGTACATCTTAGCCAACACCACAGAGCACAGAAGGTCCACGGCCTACATATGGTGTTCTTTATGTAATGGCATCTGCAGAGCAAAAAGGGTTTAGAAGAAAGAAAATTGTATGATGTTAAGCAAGAGAATAGGTGAAGAATATGAATAGAGGGAATCTGAAAATCATGGAAGGAGTTGATACAGAGAGAGGCCCACGAGTTCCTAACTCATTTTGAATCTACCATTGCACTGTAACGTATTTCCAACATCCGCACTACCCACTAGCTTCCAACTGGGAAACAGTTCAAAACAAAAGAAAACAACACAACAATCATTCAAAAAATAAAAATATAAAAGAAAGTCTTTATAAACACCAGAAGAACAATAAAATAACCTTACTAAATGGACAGCATGATCGATTTCTTCAGTAGTTACACCTGCTTTCACCATCATGGCAGCAACATCCAATACTTCTCTAGCAAGCTGCAAACGAAACAAAAATACTGATTTAAAATAAGACCAGGACTACTCCCTGGAAGATTAGCAACCCATTTTCTACAGCTGCACTGAAATGGCCAGGAAAGCTGGGTAGACTTGGGCTCTAGAAAGACTTCAAGATGTCTACAGGTTTTATCACTAAGCCAAGTCTTTGAGATTTGAAAATACCCAATTAAGATTTGGACCACAATCTCCTTGAACACCACAAATTTAAATCAGACTACCTAAATACATTTCAAAGTTTGACTTTATGCACAGGGAAGTGATTAGAATTGAACAGCTCCTTTTTTTAAATTGTCATGGATGGTGTTCTGTTTTGCTTTCACTTTTTAGTTTTTACTTAGTACTACCTCTAGGAAAGAAAAATCTTCTGTTCTCATTCATGCACTACAAAATACACTCTTAACAGCAACAACATTTTAGCCGCAGATTATCTCACTAGTAACAACAGCGCCAGAAAACAGCTAAAAGTCATCTTTCTGCTTGCAAAATAGTTCACCGTGAACTGGGAGTCACAAGGAGAGAAAGAGCAAGAAAATACCAAATTTTCCAAAATCTTTTCAGGGCTCAAAAGGGGTTTGAAAGTTTGTACTCTCAAATATGCTGCCATAAACTGCTGAAATCACTACAGATTTTTAAAGAATAAAGGCACTTTGTAACAAAAACCTCCTTACCCTACACACTACTCGCATCCCTTCTATATCCTCAGATGAGAGTATTTTTATTTGAGAAGTTCCTTTTAAAGCCTGTTCTGATTCAGACATTCCTGAAAAGAAAAAAGGGGGAAGAGGAAAAAAAACATGTTATATGGAGGAGTGATTGCTACACATGTTCAATCGAGGCACTTACTCAGCTTACCAATGGCAATAAAAGTACATACTTTCTCACCACAGACTGAAGTAACGAACCCACCAAGACACACCATTATCATCATTACCCAGATTAATTTGAGTTCGTAAGCCTCCTACAATATCAAAATGCCCACATGTGCTCAGGATGCCCGTTCACTTACTGCATAAAATCATCATGTCCAGTTAGTCAAAACACAACCTTAAAAAACGTATTTACAAGGAAATTGTTTTATTAATTCAAAAGCCTATTTTTCTTTTTTCTGTTGTTTTTTTAATGTTTTTTTTTTAGCTGCTTTGGAGATAATAAATAGTGATAAATAATATTCTAAAAGAGCCAAAAAGGATTATATATGCTTGTGAGTATCTCTAGTTATACTATTGCAATAATCAGCTGATGAAAACACGTGAATTCTTCCTACCAGATTCTGTGCAAGCTCAGTTTTATAGTTCAATGACCCCTAAAAGACAGTATTTTTTGTTGTTTAAATATTTACATTCTGTAAAGAATAACTAAAGAACAGCTGAAGATTTTAAAATAATTCTAACAGACTTTACAGCAGCTTCTTTGGGAAACGCAAAGCACCAATATCAATATAAAAACAGGAAAACCAGAACAAACCAATAAGCAGGTAATTTTGAACGTATTCCCTCTGTGTCCAAAAATGGCTGGAACATATATCAGTTTTCTTTTGGTGGTTGTTTACTGAATTTTTGCTTGGTTTTGTTGTTTTATAACACATTAAAAACAGACACACCCATGTCACTGAGAATGGCTTAGCAGAAATTCACCTGTGACAGCCAATTTATCGCTGTTGGTTATGAAGTAACCACAGGATTAGGACTTGCACGTTTTTTTTCTTTTCTTCCCTGAACACCTTTCAAAGGTAACACATTACAAACTTTGGACTCCCAAAAAATACGTGTAACCATTACTTCCAAAAAATCTGTGAGTTAAGGTGGAGGAAGAACAGGTAGAATGAGAAGAACGGATCTAAGAAGAGGTTCCCTTCTCCAGTATCTCCTTCATGCTTTCAAGGCTTTTTCAACTAGAAGATAAAAAGAAAGCAAACATAATACTCCATAATGGTGATTTGTTTCAAGTTACCTAGGGGGTGATCAGCATAATCCGGTCTCTGGATATAACTTGGCACAGGTCTTGTTGGTGTCTAAACAAAATGATAGTCAAAGCTGGTCAGGTTGCAAGAATACTTATTACAGTCACAAAAAAAGACTCAGGCAGCAAAATTAAATACAGCAAAATATGTCCAATTCCGCTTAGAAAAAGCTGTTGTGAAGTAGGCAAACTCTCCAAAACAGTTCCAATTTTCACTTCTCATAGATTCTGCTGTTACTCTTTATTGCTTTTGTATGGTACAACCTCTAGTAGTCAACTTCACAGCCTTATAAAAAATCAAACTTCAATGTGTCAAGTAAATGAAATTGGTTCTATAGCATATTATCCCTATTATATTGCAGTGTTTACTCTGCTACTTTCCAGACTGCAAATGCACTGGTTCCAAATAAATCCTTCTTCTCTCTGGTTATTAGTGTCTATTAGCAAGACTGTTATTTCTAATCATCACCCTAGTCATTAGCACTTTTTATTACAGTTTCGTTTGCATCAATCCTACAGCAGTCAGACAACAAAAAAGGAAATATCCAGCGATAACACTACTAAATTACTTGGCCAGAGACATATCCAAAACACCCTTTCTCCAGTGACACTAACAAACACACCCAGGCTCAGGCTCTGTTAAATCTGTTCTGATAATCTGTAACAGACGAAGACGACTATGGAGAGGATGTCACAGGGGCAGCATTTCTAGCACAGGTCAATTAGAAAAGACACATGCAAATGCCATTATTCCTGTAAAAACTTTGGCTTATTCCATGTACAAACTTGTATCGATCTAAAAACACAGCTATACTGACATCTTCTAAATCCACCTTTCACAGCTGAAGGTGTTACTGACCTCAGATATTCTCACCATTCCAGTGCTGGAGATTACTATGATCTCTGTTCCTTCAACAGAGCTGTTCACCAGTTTACTCACTAGGTTATTTCAAAGCATTTACATAAAATAATATAAACCCATTTATTTCAATTCTAAATTAATTCACCTGAGTTTTTATGAAACAGACTGCTCCATTATTGGTGAGAACAGTGAACAGCTAGGAGAGGACATCATATGAAGCAGCAGCAGTTTTTTGCAGAATAGATATCAAAAAGTACAGCCAAAAGGTACGAGCTCAAGCCTGATGCATGTTACCTCACAGGCACTTTCTTAATTTTCAATATACCAAGAGATAGATCGAGTTGAACCGAAAAGAACCACAATAAGGACACAGTCATACATGTCCTTCCCATCAGGTTTGGATTGTTTAAGCTTTTGTCTCAAGTAATCAGGTCAGGACTGGTCCATTTGTTGCCACAGAATGTAGCAGCACTGAAGTACAAAGTGGCATCTACTGCTTACCAGTGGATAGTGTGGCCTGAGTTTACCAGTGTATCGATAACCAGACCAGGGATTTGTGTTAACGTCACCTTCCAGGGTCCAAGAGGAAACTTCACGCTTAGCTTTTTCATCTTCTGAAAAGACCAAAAAAAAAATTTAAAAAATATTGCAGCAGCAGAATCAATCCTACCAAGAATAAGAACTGTGGGGTCCAGAAAGTAACCTAGATGTACGTAAGTCTAGGTTTGACTTTTTCTGGCATTTTAGATACTGACACATGACAGTGTAAGTAGCAGTTACCATTCTGCATTGCCCTGAAGTTTTTCACATTCAAAAGTCACACCCTGCCAACTCTATTCAACAGCAAACTAAGGAATGTCAGGACAGCAGTACTGAATGCATAAACGAAGGGTAGTACTTATTTAAGTTGCTCTTCATTTGTAGTTGTGAAGCATAGTCTGCCCTTGTTTTCAATCTTGGGAAAAATAGCATTCCTATAGAAACACACATTATCCCTTCAGTTAACGCTCCGGCACTGTAGATGAATGTCCCTTTTCTGTGATTTCTCTTAGGCATTCAGCCACAGAAGTGACCTGGAGTGGGAAGGAGGGTATCCAACTGTTAATTTCAATACATGGAGCCTGCTAATGCTCCAGATCTCATGGAGACAGTGAGGGTGCTGCCACTTCTGCATTTCAAGACAGACAGTACGTGCACCTTACAAGACTATCCCAATCTGCTGGAGGTCCCCAGCTCTCCTAACCTTTTGAAATTCTCGTCTGATGTGGTCCAGTGACTGACTTCATTCACAAACAGCACAATCCTAACAGAGCAGATTGAAGGTGTTTACATAAAGGATTGAAGTAAGTAGATCATGAGCGTCACCAAAAGGAAAAATATTTTCTCGGAAAGAGGAGGCAAGGGTTAAGAAAGAGCATGGTAGCATTAATCTTTAACTCACCACCTGGTAACCTGAGCTTGTTTTCTCTTTTTATATCTCACAAGAACGAAGATCTGGCAAAAGGTCTGCCACAGCAAGCCCTAACGTGAGCTCCTCAGAGTGTCTGTGGCTGATGTCTGAGCCATCTGCTCACATGACACTCGGTTTAGTTGAATCCCTGAGAAGGAATAGTTTTAAAATCCAAAGATTTAATGAAGTGATAGTTTAGATTCCCTTGAGATGCTTCAGTAGTTTGTTGCATTGAGCTCTGGAGGGCTATTAGAACCAAGTCTGCTCAGCTTGAGTTCAGCAGTTATCAAAGAAGCCAATGAGATCATGGATTCAGTGGTATCCTAAGAAATTTTTCTGTCAGATAAACAACAGCATTACAGGACTGCAGCAGAGAACTGACTAGAACTACTAACAAAGACAACTTCATACCCATGCAGGTACAAAGTAACAAGATACAGAATGCAAGTATGAACTACCAGACCCCAACACTGAGAAGGCAGAAAAAAGGAAAACATTTGTAGTTGTCTGTTCTACTCCAACCTATCAACCATGTAACACTTACCATGGAAAAATGAGTTTTACTGTGTTTTAGGAAAGGAGGAGATAAACGACTTGAAGATTTGACTTTTTGCAATGCCACTTACTTTTTAATATCAACTCACCTTTAAGCAGGGCTTGATGAAGTTGGGCACGGGGGTGGGAGGTGGAGGCAACAGGGCCAGAACTGGGGTCTACTTTCCCTTTTTGTTTGATTTTAAACTCATGGATTACTTTTACTACTCAAGTAAGGGATAATCTACCAGTATTTCTATGCCAGAGCCACCAGTTGTAACTAAGGCATATAGACACTCTTAGTACCTTCAACTAAACTCACCAAATTCCTAGCTACAATACATCCTACCAACAGCTGCACCAGCGCAAAATAGCATTTTTCCCTTTTTTCTTCCTCCGAAGTGGTACACCCCAAATGTACAGAACAGCTGCAACCTAACTGGCTTGCTTGCATTCCAGCGAGTATCTAATCACAAAGACTTCACAAGAACCTTTCCAACTTCACTGCCTTTTACGACATCAGAATGCTATGATGGAACAAGCCTGGCAATGCCTTATAATAATGATTTATTACTCTCCTTGCCCTCTATTTCAGCATCCTTCTTTCTCCGTTCATATACCTGGCAATGTGGCTCAAGGAATACTTCATACAAACAGAAATGGGAACGGAAAGAGAGATTTCTGTACTGTCATCTCTGAAATGTCACACAGATCTGCAGATTACCAGAAACTGGATGAAATTTCAGATATGCAGAATCCAGTGCCAGATATGTTGGAAAAATCCATACCATTCTTAGATGCAGAATCACAGAAGAGTTGAGGTTGGAAGGGACCTCTGGAGATCATCTGGTCCAACCCCCTGCCCAAGCAGGGCTGCCTAGAGCTGGCTGCACAGGACAAAACAAACTCAAAACAATATTAAAATGGATTAAAAAAAACCCCACAACATACTTACTTGCTTTCTTGTGTAGTAACTTGTGAGTGGCCCAGCTTCCCTTAAAGCATTCCTAGAATTGCAAACAAAAAAGATATTATTTTTTTAAGTAGCATTATCCTGGACAAACATGCCATCCCCACAAAACAGAGAAGCAACTGTGTTTTAAAAGAAAACTAAAAACCAGATTTTATTAACCCTTGTAGCAACATGCAGTAAATGCTATTGTAACTGCTACTCTTAACAACAGAAAATACGACATTCAGTAGCTTAGGAGCCAGAATAGACAGAAAGCATGGCCAAACAGATGCACCCATCACAGATATCTACTAAATATTGTCCCCTTATCATTTCAATGAGTGAGTAAACACCATGGTTGCTCCGAGTTGGCTGAAACATTGTGCTGCTCATGGAAACACAGAAATGAGAGTTATTCTGGTCTATCTCCATACCAGATCTTACAGCATTGCAGCCAGTGGGCAGGACAGTCCTCCCTTGGCTCCCACGAGAAGCCATCTCCTCCTGCTAATGGCATCCTTTCTGCCTCCTTCCCCAGCCCAGGAAAGCAACACAGGCCAATCGGCATGATCATGAGGACAAATGAAAGAGATTAAAGGGGGGGTGGTGTAAGTGAGGGCTACTGAATGGATATAGGAAATTAAAAAAAAAAACACAAACAAACGAGAAAGTT